AATGATTCCCGACCGGCGTCCGGTGGCCCGCGGTGTCCCGCCGGTGTCCCGCGCGGCCGGACCAAATGATTCCGGACTGGCGTCCGGTGGCCCGCGGTGTCCCGCCGGTGTCCCGCCTTTGGCTGAGGCGCGGCCGGACCAAATGATTCTGGACCGTCGTCCGGTGTCCCGCGGTGTCTTGCCGTTGTCCCGCCGGTGTGCCGTCGGTGTCCCGATGATGATGATGATGTCGATGATGTTGTTGTTGTTGATGGTGATTATGATGATGAAGGTGATGGTGGTGATGATGATGGTGTCCCGATGATGATGATGATGATGATGATGATGATGATGATGATGATGTTGACGATGTTGATAATGATGGTGATGGTGATGGTGTTGATGATGACGGTGTCCCGATGATGATGATGTTGATGATGATATTGATGATGTTGCTGATGATGATGGTGTCGCGATGATGATGATGTTGATTATCATGATGATATTGATGATGATGAGATAATGAGATGATGAGGGGATGATGATGAAAATGATGATGATGGTGTCCCGATGATGATGATGAGGTTGATGAGGATGCGCTTGATGATGATGGTGATGATGGTGATGGTGGCCCGATGATGATGTTGATGATGATGACGATGATGGTGTCCCGATGATGATGATGTTGATGATGAGGATGATGATGAGGTGATGATGATGATTTGATGATGGTGGCCTGATGATGGTGATGATGATGCTAATGTTGATGATGATGGTGTCCCGATGATGACGATGATGGTGATGCTGATTGTGTTGATGATGATGATGGTGTCCCGATGATGATAATGATGTTGATGATGATGCTGCTGATGATGATGGTGATGATGATGGTGTCCCGATGATGATGATGATGATGATGATGATGATGATGATGATGATGATGATGATGATGCTGATGATGATGATGATGTTGATGATGTTGTTCATGATGATGTGCTCATGATGATGATGGTTTCCCGATGATGATGATGCTGATGATGATGATGATGCTGGTGGTGACGATGATGGTGTCCCGATGATGATGATGGTGATGGTGGTGATACTTATGATGTTGATGATGATGGTGATGAGCTGATGATGATCATGGTGTACCGATGATGATGATGCTGATGCTGATGCTGTTGTTCATGATGATGATGTTGATGACGTGAAAGACGATGATGTTGATGATGATGATGATGATGATGATGATGATGATGACGTTGATTGTGAGATCGATTGTGATATCGATCGTGAGATCGATAGTGGGTCCGAATGTGAGATCGATTGTGTGATCGATAGTGAGATCGATATTGAGATCGATTGTGAGATCGATAGTCAGATCGATTGTGATATCGGTCGGATGAAATAGATCGAGTAAGATCGATTGTGCGATCGATCGAGTGAGATCGATCGGGCGAGACCGATAGTGAGATCGATAGTGATATCGATAGTGAGGCCGATCGAGTGAGGCGTTGGTTCCTCCCCCCCCCCCGAACCTTCTTATCACCCGAAGGGTAGCTGTATAGGTAAGAGCAATTTGATGTAATCTACAAATACAAATAATACCAACACGGAAACATCAATATTAATACTAATAATAAGACAATTGATAAGACAAAGAGGAGGAGGAGGGTGAGGAAGAGGAGGAGCAGGAAGAGGAGGAGGAGGAGGAGGAGGAGGAGGAGGAGGAGGAGGAGGGTGAGGAAGAGAAGGAGGAGGAGGAGCAAGAGGAGGAGGAGGAGCAGCAGGAGGAGGAGGAAACGGAGGAGGAGGAGGAGGAGGAGGGGAAGAGGAGGAGGAGGAGGAGGAACAGGAGGAGGAGGAGGTGGAGGGGAAGAGTAGGGGGAGGACCCTCCTTCCCTTTCCCCCTTTCCCCCCCTGATCTCTCCTCCTGTCGCCTCACTTCCCTCCGCGTGTGGGCGCGCGCCAAAGACGGACGGAAAAACGACCTTCAAGGAGTCGAAAGCTCGAGGTGGCAACGCCTCGAAGCCGTCGCGTCTTCGGAGGTCAAGGGGCAGGCCGCGCCCCTGCCGCCGAACAGGGCAACCCGGACGTTGCGCTGCATGCAGGGCCGCATCATTTTGGACGCCCGAAATGGGTACTGAAAGAATGGGTACAATTCCCAACAACAATTCCTGTCCATTTTCTACAAGGATTCGCTGTCCACGCCGCCGCGGCCTGTGTCCATTCGAGACAGGAGGCCGCCTGCCCAACAGCGGCCGCTGTTGGTTTGGGACAACATTTGCTGTTGGGCATAGTACCCATTTTTTCGGTACCCATTTCGGGCGTCCAAAATCATGTCTGCTGCGTGGCAAGACCACCAACGTGCAAATGCCTACTACAGAGGGCCGTCGTCTGTTTCTCATGCCCGTCGTCATCATGACTGCAGGAGCGTAGGCAATCCAACACTTCCGATTCATCTCCCACCTTTCATCTCCTCGCGTTCCTTTGCACGTGTTAACCTGCGACCTGTGGCGAGGCGACTGTGCAGGGGGCAGAGTGGCTGCAGGGCATCATAGCGGACATCTTTATTTACCTGCGCTCGCCCTGTCGTCCAGATTTTGGCTTGCCACCTGTTTGTCAGTCTGGTCGTCTGTCTACTTGTTTCGCCGCCGCCGCCCTCACCGTCGCCGCCGCCATCTTCACGTAGTTGATATTTACACTGTGGTGACGGTCGTTGCTATCACTAGTGCCGCCACCGCCACTGCGTCGCCGACGACGCTGTCGTCGTCGTTGTCTCGTCGTCATCGTCGTTTCTTTTCCGCTTGACCAGGCCTCTGACGGCTCGACACGTCGCGCCAGAGTGGTCTCGCCACTTTGGCACCAGGATCATCGAGTTACGATCCAGGTTGGACACAAGTCCCGCCTGGGAATGCGCTCGAGAGGTCCCGGGGGCCAGTGACTCGAACTCGAGTTGTCGGAGGTTTGGGCATCTCTTTTCCGTCTTCCCCTGCCCGCTTTTCTTGTGAGTGCCCTCCGGCAGCGTGGGCCGAATACGACGCCAGACTGGGATTGTCAGCGCGCGCCGATGTTTGCTCTCTTTGTGTTGCTGTCTCGCTCAAATGACTATTCACAGAAGATTTTACATCATATCGTACTCCATGCTCTCAGAGAACAGTCCGTATGATGCCGAAGGCGCCTACGGCGAACCACCGCCGCCGCTTGCCTTTCTGGAAACGCCTATGTGCCCTAACGTCGGGCCAACACATGGCCGAGCTATTGGAGTGTGTGCACCCCCAGCTGTTTGGGAAACCCTTCTCACTTTGGGGAGGAATGGATACACACATATGTATAAGTTTAGGTATATGTATAAGTGTATGTATATGTATATGTATATGTATATGTATATGTATATGTGTATGTGTATGTATAGGTATATGTTTATGTTTATGTAGATACATATGCATATGCACATATATATATATATATTCATTCATATATATATATATATATATTCATATATATATACATTTTGCATACGTGTATATGTATATACACATATCTGTATGCATAGAGAGACCAACGGCACACATACGTCTTTCTATTTTTATGCATCTCTACTCATATATGTATATATATTTAGTATATACATCCATCCATCCATCCATCCATCCATCCATCCATCCATCCATCCATCCATACATACATACATACATACATACATACATGCATGCATACATACATACATACATACATACATACACATACATGTATACATCTAGAAAGACGAGAGAGAACAGCGCGAGAGTTAAGAGGAGAGGGAGGACCACCGTAGGCTATGATGGAAGGCGACGGTTAGGCCGACCCCGCCCTTTGCCAACCATGGGGGTTACTTCCGACCTTCCACTCAAGCTCTATTCGGCCTGCCTCTGCGCCACTTCCTTGAGGAGTTGTGCAGCATGGATCGGCTGGGACAGTCGGGCGGCGGCCTTCACACTGCTTTCGGGGTGCCGGCCGCCCGACAAAAGGGCCCACGCATTCTTGGAACACGTGCTTCAGAAGCTTTCCTTGCATTCACCTCGGAGACCCCTCGAGTTGCGCTCTGAGCACTGGCCGCACCGCTCTCACACCACACTGGAGGAGTCAACCTCAAAGTAGCCGCACAGAAATAGGGCGCGCTTTTTGGGCGCTCAAATTCGAGTAGAGAGGGCAACCGAATTGCCAGGGCATGCCTCGATCATGCGGGACTTACGGGTGCTATCGGTCCTTGCTCTCGTGTGGCAGACCCAGCACGCCCAATTGACATTTAGCCAAACCCACTGGTGCTCGGCCTCTCGCTGTAGGTTACGGCACTCTCGAGCACGCTGGGGAGGACCCAAGTGTTGGTGAGGGGGCTCAGTCTAGACTTGGGCCGCCCCAACAGTCCCGACAGGGGGGGTGGGGCTCCTAGAGGGCTTCTCGTAGGCCTTCTTGCCTGTGCGAGGGGCGAGGGGAGACCAAGAGCGCCTCTGCTGCAACTCTGACCAGTCTCTTGACTCGGCAACTGTCTTCTCTGTATAACTTGAGCTCCTGTTGGGGTGGGCCTGGGATACGGGCCGCAGCTTGCTTGGCGACCTTGTCCGCCCAACCGTTCCCTGTGGTTACGAACAGGTCTCTTGAGCCAGCCCCGAGGACCTCTAGGTCCTGGTGGGTCTTCACTTCTTTGGAGCCCGGGGGGCAGCAAGCTGTCCTGGGCCCTGGTAACTTAGCCTGGCGAAAGACCCAACCATGTACAGATGAGAGTACCGCCGTTGTGAATCTCGTCTTCGGTGGAGCTCCCTATGCAGCTAAGAACCGTGTGAGGGGCGTACCGATGTGTGGCGGGGTACGCAACACGGAAGAAGACGATAGGTCTGATAACGGGAGCGGGTGAGTCTGAGCACGAGTGCGTCTGATTGGGCATGAGTCTGCGTGCGAGTGAGTCCATCGCGTGGATCGCCCCCGCTTCCTCCCCCTCTTTTTCTCCTTCTTTGCCCGCGCACTCCAGTGTCCCAGGCTGCGGTTGCAGCGCAGCGTGGAGTCCCCGCGACGCGCGCTGGTCGCCCCGAAGGGGTCCCAGCAACGCACGCGGTCGTCCGCTGCGCGGAGCAAAGCGAACTAGCTGGCTGGCTGAGAGCGGGCAAGGCTCTGGCCGCCGGGCAGAGCGACGACGGGCGAACGAGGCGCTGGGCAGTGCGCAGCACGGAGTCCCCGCGACGCACGCTGGTCGCCCCGAGAGGGTCCCAGCGACGCGCACGGGTCGTCCGCGGCGCCAGGACGAACTGTTGAACAGCCTGGATATGGCACGGCTCGGGCGGGCCGCTCCCCAGGTCAGACCTCGCAAATCAATTCGGTGAAGCCCAGCTCTCTGGCGAGGGCTGCCACCTCCCTCCTGCGCCGTTTCGTGCACGACGCAAACTGCTCCAGCTGCGCCATTGGGGCCTTCGCCAGGGCTCCCTGGGACCACGAAGCGTGTGAGGGTGTGCCGACATGGGTGTGCGTGGCGCATGCGGGCTGCGCCACTGGGACCTTCGGCGGAGCTCCCTGTGGGGCCACGAAACGTGTGAGGGGTGTACCGAACTGTGTGTGCGTGACGCATGCGGGTTGCGCCACTGGGACCTTCGGCGGAGCTCCTCATGGGGCCACGAAGCGAGTGAGGGGTGTGCCGACATGGGTGTGCGTGACGCATGCTGGTTGCGCCATTGCGACCTTCGGCGGAATTCCCCATGGGGCCACGAAGCGTGTGAGGGGTGTGCCGACATGGGTGTGCGTGACGCATGCGGGCTGCGCCACAGGGGACGTCGGTTGAATTCCCTGTGGGGCCACGATCGTCGTGAAGGGTGCACCGTCGATGATGAGGAGGATGATAATGATGCTGACGGTGATGATGATGGCGGCGAAAGCGACGATGATGACGACGATGATGGTGATGATGACGGTTACGATGTCCATGGTGATGATGGTGAGGAGGATACACTGATGCTGATGCTGACGATGCTGATGATGAAAGGAGGAGGGAGGGGGCAGCGGGAGGAAGTAAACGCGGGGCGATGTCTCTTCAGAGCGAGGACCCAACACCACATAATGGTTGGGACAAACAAATAACAACGCCAATTCTTTTCCTACTTGCATCCTGGGCTCCGGTGGGCCGAAAAGGAAGGGTACGGCAGGTTCGCGTCGTGTCAACCGGCGGCGACCCACGCGCGGGCGTTTAAGGTTTGACGCCGCCTGTACGGCCAAGAGTCGGCCCATCGTTGAACGATCCGGCCTTGCTGAAAAAACCGATCGTTCAAGTTTGAACGATCCCCGCGGTGTCAGTATCCAGCGCCAGGGTCGGCACGACGCGAACCTGCCGTACTTTTGACTTCCAAGTGCAATCGCGTGCGCTCGGGCTGTCGCCCTCCCCTCCCTTTCCCCTCCTCGCCCTTCTCCCAGCTCAGCCGTCTCCCGTCTCCCTTCCCCCCCCCTCTTCTCCTCGGCCTCTCCCTCTCCCCCTTCCCCTTCTCCCTTCCCCCCCTCTCCCGTTTCTCCCCCCCCCCCCCCCCCCCCCCCCCCCCCCCCCTCCCCCCCCCCCTCTGCCCTCCTTTTCTTGGGCAGTCTGCGAGGCGCCAGCCTGCAGCGCACGCGCCCTCTCCTTCCCCCTCTCCGCGGTCCCCTCCCTGCGCGACAGAGGGGGGCCCGTTGCCCCTCCAGGGTCCCTCCTCTCTGGCCTCCGCGCGGCCCCCTCTCTCCCTTGCCGCGCTCGCGCCGGGCACGAGCCTTAGATCGGGCCTGTCCCTCTACTGGAGGAATCTTCCAAAATAGTAAAGCAATAGTCGGGGGATGTTTTTTATTCGTTTCCTTTTTTTTGTTTTGTGTCTGTGTGTGTGTGTGGGTATTCGTATTTTTTCGCTTGAAGTCCGCCTGTAGGAGGACATGCCCGAGCTAACACAAGCGAGGAGCAGCAGGGGGCAGATGCCGAGAAGGAGTTCCACGAGAAGTTCAAGGCTGTGCGCCGTTGGAGTCGGTTCGGCGGCGCGTCGAGGGTGGAAGTGAGAGAGTCAGAGGAGGAAGAAAGGCACACATACCCCGTACTGCTACCCTCGCCTCGTTTTCCCCTTTTTTACGCCTCCTGGGAGGCCCTCGTCGCCACCGTTGGATTGGCCTCGAAATCCTGGTCAGAGCGCACCCCAGGAGAGGCCCAGGGAGTGGCGGTATCGGTACCCTTTGGTCTCCCCAGAGAGGGGGCAGGCCTTCTCGGAAGGCGGCGGGGCTTTGCAGAATGTGCAGACCCTTTCAAAGGGATCTTCTTGGAAGGCGTTCCCATAGGAATCATACAGGAACAATTACAAAGGGATCCGGATGGAAAGCTTTTCGTTCGGATTTTTTTGGAGCCATTACAACCGAATTCTCGTAGAAGGCGCTTGAATAGAAATCACACTGGACACCACTGCAACGGAATCCTCTTGGAAGCCTTTGACACTCGGAATCCGATTGGAAACCATTACGACGGGCTCCTACTGGTTCTTTTCAGAAGGCCAGGGGCCCTCCGAGCCTTCTGAGGAGGCCCGCTCCCGGTGCGTCCCCTCCTGGGCGCGCCGCCGACGTCGCCCTTCGTGGCTTTTCCGCCACTGGCGTCGCCCACTTCGTCATCCATCGACGCCCGCCTCCCCCTCTGCTTCTTGAGCTTCCGCTCGGCTGCACCTCGCTTGGTCGACCGATCTTCGTCTCCGAAGTCCACGCCCTCCCCGCGTGCTCGCGTACACTTCGCCCCCTCTTCCTCGGCCTCCCCTCTCGAGAGCGCCCACGCTGCTGCTTTTGCTGCTGTCACGCTCGAGTCTGCTGCAGGCCGTTCGAGACCTGACAGGCTGAATTCCCTGCCTGCCTTGGCCCGTCGGCCCTTCCCGTCTCCTTCCCCTGTCTGCTGCAGATCCACGCCAAGGAACACCCTGCTCGCCTCCAGGGTGCCCTGAGTTTCTTGGATCTCGACGGTTTCTGCCACGGGGGACGTGACGTTCCGGCACCACGAATCAAGGGACGTCCCGGGGTCTCGGAGTTGCGTTTCTTGCGGCAGGTTTCTCGTGGTCGGGCCCCTGTCTGTTATCCTCTCTGCCTCCTGCCGTCTGGGTCTCTCTCGCGCGTACAGGACTCGGTGGCTGCCTGTTCTCGAGTTTACCGTGTTGTTCGGATGATACCGATTGTTACACGAAGCCAAATGGTGGCATGGAGTTGCCAGAAAAAAATCCCTCCCTTCTCGAGCGCCCTTCCCACTTATCTCCTTCCCTCGCCATGTGCCTCCCTTTTCATTTACTCTGTTGCTTTTTCTCCTTCCTGTTTCTTCGCATACTATCTTCTCGCCTCCTCTTCTCTCGTGGCTAGCTTGGAGTCCCGAGTTGCCCACAGCTTCGTGATCGTTGTCTTTGGTGTCATGTGTAAAGTGGCCACGGATATCCTGGGAGAATAGTGCGATTGAGAGGGAATGATGAGGGTTGTGGATAGCACATGATTGAGTGTTAGTGGAACCAGCGGCATCATCCGTGGCGGTCGTTGCCACTTCTTGTTGTCAGGGTGTGCGATGGCGAGAGGCTCGTAGTGTATATAAACACATTGGTCAACCGTTTGCGCGTGTTTTGCCGACCATGTTTCTTATGTACTGATAGCGTGCACTCTGGGACTGCAGAGGGAGGGTACTCGCAAGGGATTCCTTGACAACGGCGTCATTCAAGACCTGGCACCAGTTTTCGACTTGTTCGTGGATCATAGCCAGGACCCCGAGACCCGGCAAAAAGCGGCTGTCGTGAGTCGCGAAAGGATGCAGGTGAGGGGGGCAAACGCAGGAATGCATTGAGCCAGAGGCTCATTTCACGTATTGCCATGACATAGTTTTCGCATTCGCGTTGTTGCGAAAAATGGGACGCATTTTTGTTTTCGGCATGGCGAACCAGGATTAATGAAGGCCCTGCGTCTCCCTCTCGTCGCCCTCTCCCTCCTCCTTTCCCCCTCCCTCTCCCTCCTCCTCTTCTCCTCCTCCTCCTCCTCGTCCTTCTCATTCTCTGTCCTCGAATAGAGAGCAAGCATACTTGCTTTTGGATGCCTTTCTTCGCGGGGGCGTATCCGAATGCCTCTGGGGCCTTCCTGGGGCCTCCCGGGGCCCCCTGGGACCCCCTGGGGACTTTGTGGACCTCCAGGGGCAGCGGGAGGATGTACGCGCGTGACCCCCGCGGGGGTGACTGCGCCTTCTGTCTGATGTTTGGAGGCTGCTGCGCTCCCTACCCTGTTTCCTTCCCTCCTCCCTCCTCCCTCCTCCCTCCTCTCTCCTCCGTCCCTCCTCTTCCCCCCCCCCTCCTCCATCCTCCCTCCTTCCTCCTCCTCCTCCAGTCGCCGTGACCTGCTCGAGGTGTTTGGGTGCAGGCCACAGTGGCCTGCGACACCTCCGCGGTCGCGCGACCACGGGCGCCGCCACGCCGCGCGGCCCCGATCGGGATCCGGCCTGGCACCGCCGCCGCCGCAAGGAGCGTGCCAACGCACTCGTGCTCCTGCGGTTTGGTGCGGCGGCAGGCCTACTGGACAGGCACCACAGCAGCGGCAGGATGGCGCTAGGATATCGTGCGTCGTCACGTTCGACAGGCCATACGTCAACCTGGCGCTGCTCCTTCGTGAAGTGCAGCCAGGACAACTTTGCGTCGAGACTGACATGCAGAGGCTGCGGAACGCCCTAGGGGGGAGGAGGTGGAGGCCACAAGGAAAAGGCCAAGCCCCCCTGGAGGAAACGTTCTGCCTCGGCAGATAGAGGAGGTCACAGGCGAGGAGCTGCGGCAGGAGACCAAGGAGATGCAGGTGCTAGAGTGCCAGCGGCCTCGGGCAACATCGGCATCCTGCCCATGCTGCCGAATCAGGCGCAGCATCACCCCAGCTGGCTGTCCGCCCCGCCGATCGCCGCAGGACTCAAGCGACACAGGGAGTCCTTGCGCAAGGCGATGGTGGCGGCGGCAGAGGCGGTGAGGGCGATCCGCAGCATGCCGCCGGAGCAGGTCTCCCCGCAGCGCTTCAAGCGGGCGAAGAACGAGTATACTGCGCTCCACTGCCAGGTCATCCTCGCTAAGGACCCGACCACGCGCATGGAGAAGCAGGAGCAGTTCGTCAACAAGGCCAAGAAAGCGCTGTCGGCCGCCAAGGGCGCCCAGTTCGCCGCGGAGCTGGCGGCGGAGGCGTGCAAGGCGGAGACGGTCAAGGCCCAGAAGGAGTACCAGCACGCGCAGGAGTTCATGGCGCAGATGGCTCAGCTGGAACACTGGTGCGCCTACTCGCCAGAGGGCGGAACCCACGCCGCTGCGGAGCCGGCCGCGCACATGTTCGCCAGGGACGCGGCGGTGCCGGACGACAGCGACGAGGAGATCGAGGACGCGGACGACGACGGCTACGGAGGGGGCTCGTCAGGGCAGCAGCAGATGCCAGTGAGGCCATCATGGTCACACAGGCACGGCCCAAGATCAGAACCGCGTGGCGAAGCTGGAGACACAGATGGGGTCCATGCAGGACACGCTGGGGCAGATCCTCGCGGCGCTCAATGGGCAGCCCCTCCAAGGCCAGCCATCGCAGGCCGCAGGGGCGGAGGAGATCCCCGTTCCAGGTGGAGGGGGGCTGCCCGACAGCCAGAAGAGCGCGAGCGCAGGCAAGGCCGCCAAGTCCCCAGCCAAGGCGTTTGCGGAGCCGCCGCCGCCAGGCCAGAGGAGGCTGGCCCTGTCGTCTGGAGGTGCAGCCACGGACAGCTCAGAGGGAGCCGTCAAGGTCATGAAAGACGAGGGCGGCGACCCAGTCGTGGTCGAGGTGGCGGCAGCCCGCTCCCCACTGCAGGAGCTGCAGCAGTGCCAGACGCCGCCTGCCGCCGACGAGAACGCCATGAGGGGCGTCAGAGTGGGGCAGCGGCTGGACGCCAACGGGCGGCCGTTGGGCTAGTTTACCCGGGCCAGCCCCCGCTGCCGTCTTCAGCGGCGACGGAAGCGACAGGGGTGTGTGGCCCGGTAGACAGCGCCGCCACAACGACTTCACCGTCAGAGGCGCTGCCAAGGAGTGGTGTTGACACGCCAATTCCAGACGCAGCAGCCGACGTGGCCGTGCTGAGGGCAGCATGGCCAATCTCCATCGACAAGGGCTTCGTCGAACACGGAGAGCAATACCTTCACAGCTCCACCAAGGGAGTACTTTCCAAGTGCTCGCGTCTGCAGGGCGATTTTGATCCAAGCCTGTTCGAGACGCTACTCATCTACACGGATGGCTCGGGCGGCAGCACGCGCGGTCATCTTCCTGGGCCGCCGGCCTGGGCCTTCGTCGTGCTGGGCTACACGCACGACGACGAGTTTGTGCTCATTGGCACGATGGGGGATGCGATGCCGACGCTGGGGGAACAGTTCAGCCAGCCGTCTGGAGCCGCAGAGATTTGTGCGATGATTGCCGCGATCCTCTGGCTCCTGCAGCTCCAGGTGGCTGTGGGCGAGACGGGCAAGCATGCGCAGCTGCCAGTGATCAGCTTCTACACCGACAGCAACTACGTGGTAGACATAGGGAGAGGAGGTGCCGCGCTGGAGCACTGCGCGCCGTGCGCCAGCTTCCTGGACGGCATCGCCAAGGTGCTGAGACAGCGCGGAGGACATCCTCTGGTCGCACGTCAGCGGCCACATGGCGGACCTGTGGAACGAACTCGCCGACGCCGCCGCCGCGCTGGCCAGAGGCGGCCTCGTCGCGTGGCCCAGCGACTTCGACCTCTGGGATCGCATGGGGCAGGTGCTGCCGCAGGCGCCCTGGCTGTGGCTCAGTGTTGCCCCTCGGGCCGAGAGACTCCAATGCCCGCTCCCAGGCCTCCCCGCCCCTGTCCTCGAGGCCCCGTCCCAAGGCCTCCAGAGCTTCCTCCTGAAGCACCTGTCCCAGGGAGACAACGGCTCTCAGGGGGAGGGCCGAGGCAAAAGGAGGGGGGAGGGGCAACCCAGCAAGCCGCGGAAGCAACGGCTAGCAGTGGCCAATGCCCTGACGCTCGACCCCGGGAAGTCCAGGGTGAGCAAGGGGAAAGCCTTCACAGGTGTCCTCATCCCAAGTCGGATGCAGTCCCCAGCGCAGCAGTTCGGGGACGCGGGCTACCACCTGGTCGGCGCGCTCGAGACCAGGGTCCCCGCCGAGTCCGTCGCGAGGGTGGGCCGCTACCTGGTGCTCCACACTGCTGCCGCAGAAGGAGGGCGCTTCGGGGTCTCGCTGTGGGTCAACACGGTGGGCCAGCTCGGCGAGGACGGCCCCGCCCTGCAGGGGCAGCACGTGGCGATCGTGCACGTGGGGCCGACCCGCATGCTGGTGTGCATCAGGGCGCCCATCCTCCACTGCGACATCCTGGTAGGGCATGCCCCGCGCAGCCACGGGCCCCCAGGGGGGATCAGGGACTGGTGGGGGCACGCCCAAAGGATCGTCGACAAGAGGCCCGACCCCAGCCCGTGGCTCTTTTCCCTGGTCGACGCCAACGCCCAGGTGGGATCGGCCCCCGCGGTCGGCATCGGGGAGTGCGGAGCGCAGAAGGAGAACCTCCCAGGGGCCTGCCTCCGCAAGTACGTCAAGCGCACCGACTCCTGCCTGCCCTCCACGCTGGCCCAGTCCAGGAACAATGTGTACGCCGCGTGGGCTCCGTCGAGGGCCAGGTCCGCGGAGGGCGGCAAGCGCATAGACTACATCGCGGTACCACAGGAGCTGCTACAGCATGTGGGCGAACAAGGGGTCAACGACAACATCGAGCTTGCGGTCTCCCACAAGGACCGCGCAGTGGTGGACCTGGAGGTGCAGCTCCCGCAGGGCCAAGATGGGGAAAGACCGCCCAGGTGGCATCGCCCCAAGGTGGACAAGACCAAGCTCACCACGTTCTCTTGCCAGGTGAGGTTCGACGAGGTGATGGGGCAGGTGCATCACCCGGCAGCGAACGTCCACCCCAACGACCACGCGGACTACCTCGACAGCCAGGTCCTGAAGGCGGCAGAGGAAGCTTTTCCGCTGGAGCCCAAGGCGCCGAAGCCGACATGGGAGTCGCCAGCCGCGCAGGGCCTCTGCCATGTCAGGGCGCTGCTCCTAAGGGCCACAAGGAGGGCCAGGAACCGCCTGGGTCACATCATGCTGGTGGTTACGATGGCGGCGTGGGCCAACTGCAGCGACCAGGGGATGTGGCGCAACCTGAGGACAGCACAGTGGCAGGCATCGACAAGAGGCAGGGCCACGTCTGACAAGGTCATGGAACCATGCCGCACGGCGCTGCAGGACTACCGCCAGGTGCGCGACTTCTCGGCCATGGTCATGGGCCAGCAGCACCCTGCAAAGATAAAGAAACAGGGGAGAAGAGCGACGCAGTCCCCCCAGGGCCACACCTCGAAGCACGTGTCCTTCAACAAGGTGCCCGACTTCGACATCCCAGCTGAAGCAGGGGGCGCCCAGGATACTACCGCATGGGCGCGATGGGCAACGCCTACATGCAGTGCCGCCATCGACCCGCCGCTCCCGTGGGACGACTGCGCGGACAACAGCGACCTGGAGGGGCCAGACAGGCCCCGCGGCCCTCGCGTCGAGGACTACGAGGGACACGCTGGCGGCAGATGGTGTTTGGGCCAGAGTGAAGGCATGCTGCAACCCAAACACGACGAGCTCTTGTTATGTCAAGCCGCCGGGGAAGCATTGGACAACCTGAGACGGACCAACGCCAGAAGCCGCCAAGCACCCGCAGTACAGCAGGGTGAAGTGCAGCAG